ACCACATAGGTTGCACAACGGATTTTCTCCGCCACCGATCGGAAACAAGTTCTACCACCCTCCACCCCTGGGTTAAAAACTCACCCGGAACCGATGCAAAACGCGTATGGCTTTCTTACGCAATGTCCATCCTGCCTGTGAACTCATACTATCCCAGCTAGGCCGGTATCGGTTCCCCCTCGGTTCCCTTGCAGCAAATACTACGCGCGGACTAGTATATAAAAAAACAAAAACTTTCAAATACATCCCCTGCGACAAACAAGAAGTGCACGCGCGCGCGCGTCGTCGCGCGCGCATGCCAGGATCCTTCGAAAACCTTCGTGTTCGGAAAAATGTCAAAACCGAGTGTCCAAACAAACGCATAACAAAAACACGCACACATCGTTTCGCAAGGCGGATACTCTAAACTAGCATGCGCGCGCGCTCTTGCGAATTCCGAAGAAAACCATACTATTTTCAAGACTAGCATGCAATGCTACCAAACGGGCTTCGCGCGCGCATGTCGAAATCGTTCGAACGCCGCTGCGCGCGCGCGCCGTCGCGAAAATCCTCAACAACAAAAAAAAACGAAGTGCACGCTCGCGTGCCGTCGCGCGCGCATGCCGGCATCTTTCAAAAACCTTCGGTTTCGGAAGGGTTCCAAAACCGAGTGCCTAACGAACATATAACAACACATGGGGTCGCAACGCGGGTTTTGAACAAAAACGCGCGTACTCTTGCGAATGCTTAAAAAGACCGCCAGAGTTTTTGGATGTTCGTAAAATGCTAGTGCTACCAAACGGGCTTCGCGCGCGAGCATGCCGAAATCGTTCGAACGCCCTTGCGCGCGTGCTGGGGTGGCACGATCCGTGTCAAATAATACTATGCGAGCTGCTCTCGCGCGTCTGCTGCGCGCGCATGTCGGATTCCTTCCAAAACCTTCATCACCGACGCGAAAATGCCGTCATCGTCGTCGGCGTGATCAGCATCGGCGCCGTCACTGCCTGCCCGTCGTCGCTGTCAGCATCGTCGCCAACGTCTCAACTGTTATCACCGTGGCTACCGCTGTCGACGTTGCCATGATACCGCGCCCGCCCCAGTCGCCGACTCGCACTGAAGTGCCCGCTGGGATGTGCCGAGCGGCCAGCGCCACCGCGTTCGCGTCGGTCGCGACAAAATAGCTGGCCGTTGCGCGCGCGAGCATGCGCGGGCCAGCGCGGCCGCAGAGATGCACCAGCCAGCGCCGCGCACTCATCGCAATCGCCATCGCATGAGGTATAAAACCAATTTGCGGGTGGGTGGGCGGGATGTTTGCGCGAGCAGTGGAGTGGACAGCTCACTGCGAACAAGAATTACTTGCACTATATAGATCGAACCAAATGGATTGCGCCACATATATTGCACAACGTAGAGTGCACAACGTAGATTGCATCACATATATTGCACGACGTTGATTCTCTGATCTAAAAGGATATCGGTTCCACCACCCTCCCCGTCCTGGGTTAAAGACACCCCTTTCCGGACTCCAATGCGCAAATGATTCTGCCCCACCGTCCGTCCTAACTGTGAATTCATACTATCCCAGCCAAGCCGGCATCGGTTCCCCCTCGGTTCCCCTGCAACGCATATTACGCGCGCGCACTAGCTTATCAAAACTCACAAGTTTTCACAACTCCCTTGCGACAGAACTAAAACGAAGTGCGCGCGCGCGTCGTCGCGCGCGCATGCCGAAACCCTCCAAAACCAATCGGAAGGATCGAGCATTCAAGAAAGATACACAAGCAAATGGTTTCGCAACACTGATTTTCTACAAAAAAGCTTGCGCGCGCTCTGACGAATTCTTAAGAGAACCGTAAGCTCCAAATTTTCATAAAATGCTACCAAGCGGGCTTCGCGCGCGCGGAATGTCGAAATCGTCCGAAGGCCCTTGCGCGCGCCTGGGGGGGGGCACGATCCGTGCTAAATAAGACCATGCGGGCCACTCTCGCTCGTCTGCCGCACGCGCATTTCGAACTCCTTCCAAAACGTTCATCACCGACGCGACGACACCGTCATCGTCGCCGGCGTGATCAGCATCGGCGCCGTCACTGGCCGCCCCGCTGTCGATGTCAGCATCGTCGCCAGCATCGCTACTATCATCTTCGCGTCTACCTTTGTCGACGTGGCCATGATACCGCGCCCGCACCAGTCGCCGACTCGCACTCAAGTGCCCGCTGGGATGTGCCGAGCGACCAACGCCACCGCGTTCGCGTCGGTCGCGCCCAAATAGCGGACTGGAGCGGCCGCAGAGATGCAGTAGCCAACACCAAGCACTCATCGCAGTCGCCGCCGCATTGGTTTTGCAAACCAAGTTGCGGGTGGGTGGGTGGGATGTCTGCGCGAGCAGTGGAGCGGACAGCTCACAGCGAACAGGAATTAATTGCACCACATAGATTGCACAACATAGGTTGCACCCCCTAGATTGAACTACGGCCTGCATCGCATTTGTGATCTTGTCCCTAACAAATAAATTCTACAACCCTCCCACCCCCCGGGGTTAAAGACCCCCCCAGAACCAATGTAAAACACATTGGAGTCTGACCCGGCGCCAACCCTACGTGTGAGTTCATACTATCCCAGCCAAATCGGTATCGGTTCCACCCGCCATCCTCTGCAACAAGTACTATGCGCGCGCACTCGTTTATCAAAAAGCAGAAGTTTCAAACATCCCTTGCAACAGATAGGGCGAAGTGCACACGCGGGCGTCGTCGCACGCGCATGCCGAAATCCTTCCAAAAACCGTCGGCTTCGGAAGGGCTGCAAAATCGAGTCCCCCCAAAACATACAAAACCAAGTGGTTTCGCAACGCTGAACTCCTAAAGAAGCTTACGCACGCGCTCTTGCGAAATCTTAAGAAAACCATTGTTGTTTCACGATTTTCAGAAGGTGCTACCCAACGTGCTTCGCGCGCGCATCGAAATTGTTCGAACGCCCTGGCGCGCGTGCCGTCGCGAGAACCCTCTGCAAAACAAGAAACGAAATGCGCACGCGCGCGCCGTCGCGCGCGCATGCCGCAATCCTTCAAAAACCTTCGGTGTCGGAAGGATTTCAAATTCGAGAACCCAACAAACATACAAAAACACATGGTTTCGCAGCGCGGAATTTCAACAGAAGCGTGCGCGCGCGCTCTTGTGTCTTCGTCGTCGTCGTCCTCCCTCCTCCCTCGTCGTCGTTGTCGTCGTCGTCCTCTGTCTTTCCTCGTCGTCGTTGTCGTGGCGTCGTCGTCGTCGTTTCCATCGTCGTTGTCGCCGTGGTCGTCCTTCCTCCCTCATCGTCTTCGTCGGCGTTTCGTTGTTGTCCCTCCTATTTCGTCGCCGTCGTCGTCGTCGTCGTCTTCCCTCCTCCCTCGTCGTTGTCGTCGTCGGCGTCGCCGTCGTCCCTCCTTCTTCGTCGTTCGCGTCGCCGTCGTCCCTCCCTCTTCCCTCGTCGTTGTCGTCGTTGCCGCCGTCGTCGTCCTCCCTCCTCCCTCGTCGTCGTCTTCGTTGACGACGTCGTCGTCGCCGTCGTCGTCGTCTTCGTCGTCGTCGTCGTCGGCGTCGTCGTCGTCGTCGGCTTCGGCGTCGTCGGTGTCGTCGTCGTCGTCGGCGTCGTCGTCGTCGCTGTCGTCGGCGTTGTTATCGTCACCGTCGTCGTCGTCGGCGTCGTCGGTGTCGTCGTCGTCGTCGTCGTCGTCATCGTCGTCGTCGTCGAAGTCTTTGGAGACGTCGTCGGCGTCGTCGTCGTCGGTGTCGTCGTCGTCGTCGGCGTTGCCATCGTCGTCGTCGTCGACGCTGGCGTCGTCTTCGTCGTCGTCGTCAGTGTAGTCGTCGTCGTCGTCGTCATCGTCGTCGTCGTCGAAGTCGTTGGAGACGTCGTCGGTGTCGTCGTAGTCGTTGTCGGCGACGTCGTCGTCGTCGTTGTCGCTGTCGTCGTCGGCGCTGGTGTCGATGCCAAGTGCCATTTGGTACCCACTGTCACGGTCTTAAGAGGTTTTGCGACCAAGTTGCGGGTGGTAGGGTGGGATGTTTGCACGAGCAGTGGAGAGGATAGCATCAACTTGAGCAAGTGATTGATTGCACAACATATATTGCACCACGAAAATTTCTTGCACAGCATAGATGGCACCATACAGTTTGCTCAACAAGCATTACACAACACATATAGCATCACACTGGTCGCACCGCATAGACAACATCGCTTATATTGCACAACGGAGGTTGCAACAAATATACGGCACAACATGTACCGCTAGAGACACACTGTCTGGGGTCCACGCTGGCTAACAGTAAGTTACATGCATCGTGCCATCATAGGGAACGCTGCCTAAGGAACAAATGGGCCTTTAGGCCATGGCAAGCGTCGGTCACGAACAAATTCCCCGACACGAGTTCAAGGAACGGCCCGAAAAGCCGAGCTCCTCCTGCGACGAAAGTGGTCCTAATTTCAGAGTCTTGACTGTACGACAAGCTTGCGCCCCCGAAACCACAATACAAGTAAATCTCAACGTGCTCGCGTTCCCTCAAAGTTGCAACCCATTGCACAATACATAACTTTCGCGCCCCCGAAACTACAACCCCTTTTCAATGATATCGCGTTCGCGCCCCCGAAGTCACAACCCATGGTAGATTACACCCCCCTCCCCCCAACCCAGGGCCAAAAAACCCATAGTAAATTAATACGGTCTCGCGCTCCCGGTTCGTCCTGCTCGTCCGCCACCTCCTCCTCCTCCTCCTCCTCCTGCGCTGTGTACAGCTCCCTCTCCTCTTTGCTGATAACTTTTCTGATAACACATCGCGTGATAGGGGTTATCTTGGGGATCCAGGTCCGCTAGGACACGCGCCGGCGGATAATGAAAACATCGCCGCAGTGAGAAGGGATGGGTGGGAGGGTCGGATGTCAGATGTGGTGCGCACGCGTCTAGCTTGCCTCCCTCCCTCTCTCCTCCTCCCCCCCTCACGAGACGGCGGTAACGGCGCCTGGCGGAGGTGTCCACAGTGCAGTTGCGGACTTCGATGGCCCGCCACTGGCGCGCGAATCGCTCGTGCTCCTCTCGAGCGGGTTGTGGCCGCCACGTACGCCGTCGTTGCCGCCGCGGCCGCAACCGCGGCTACCGCGGACTGTAGGGAAGGGCCCCCGCCCTTCGCCTCCCCCTTCCCTGTCCCCTCCCCTGTCCCCTCCCCTTCTCCTCTCCCCCCCTCTGCCTCCTCCCTCCCTCTTCCTCTTCCTCCACTTCGGCCCCCCGCGCTCTCCAGAGCTCTCTGGAGGCCTTCAGAGGCCCAGAAGGAAGGCCAACAACGAAACAGAGGTTGCAACGACGAACGCGAACGCGACTACGACGACGGCCGAGCACGACGAAGAGAACGACGCCGCCGGCAGCGGCAACGACGGAGACAAAGACGACGATGACGAGAACGACGACGACCCCGCAGAAGTCTCTGGGAGTCCGGCCCAGTTGTCTCCGGAGGCCCCCCGAGGACCAGCAATGGCTGAAAATCGATGAAACCTCCTTTTTTCGTTTCTCGAGATTCTCGAAGTCTCAGACCTGGAAGGGGCGGCAGCGGCGACGACGAGCTTCTGGGCGCTCGCTCCTGGCACTGATAGCACACGGGGGTGAAGCAGCCAGGGCAGTTGAGCACCGCGGCGGTGGTCCGGACGTTGGACAAGTCGGGCTGCATCAGCCGCTCAATGACCCACCTCCCCTCCCCCCCATCCCCCCCCCCATCCCCCTCCTCCCCCTCCTCCTCCCCCTCCACCTCCTGGGGTCTTGCCTGGCTGACCTAGGCGTTTCGCGTGAGACCTCCGTATGATTTACGACCCCGAAGCTTCGCATTCCACGCAGTTGCACGGACGGAAGGCGGGTTCTTAAAAAGAACGGCTCTCGCCTGAGCGCCGCGCGCATTCGTCTTGAATGTTTGTATCATCTTTACGGATGGAGGCCAATACCATTTCAAAACGAGGCTCTCGGCCCAGCGCCGCGCGCACTCGACGTTACAGCTTGCAGCATCTACAGGGGTGGAGGCTTGTACCTGTTCAAAATGTTGCTCTGGCGTTGGTGCAGCGCACAGCCGTCTTAGCATGCATCAGGCACGCGCATGGGAGCTGGGGCGTCTTCGGCAATGGACTCTTGCCTGAGAAATCACCTTGCATATAGATGGCACAGCAGCTACACGGGTGGAGGGCGGGTACTTTTCAAGATGTGGTTTTCGCCACAGCGCCGCGCATACTCGCCTAACACACATGAGTTCATGAGACAGATTGAGGCCGGTGCGTTTGCGAAATGGGGCTCTCGCCCGAGACTTCCCAAAACATGCCACCGCGCACTACCACGGATGGAGGGCGAGCCCGCTTCAAGAGGCGACTCTCGCAAGATATTCGTCAGATGGTGTGGCCATGGGATAAGCAGTGTGCAACAACTGAACGGATGGATGGCGGCTCCTCCTTCTTCTTCTTCTGAGCAGCGCTGTCGCTGGCCACGCCCGTGCCCCTTCATGCCCCAGGGAGGGAGCTACCCTCAAACGGAAGTCCCGCCTGAATTGGAAGCCGGTTTGGGCAGTCGTCATTTCAAAAGGCGGCGTTTCACGCAGCGAGAGAGAATGCTTGTAGGGACTGCTGAAGAGGGGGCTTGGAACGGATGGGTGTCTTGCAACGTCGTTCACACATCTTGGGGTCAGTCTGGTCTCGCCTCCTCCCCTCCCAGGCCTCCGGCACGCTGCTTCCAGCAGCGTGGGCCCCAGGGCTCCTTCGTCCCCATGCGCAACAAGAGCGCCTGTCCCTGAACATGACAAGCCGAGGCGGAGCCCCCGTCGTGTTTCTTTTTTTTCGGCGACGCCTTGACGCCTGGGTCCTCCCCCCGCCTCCCAAATCCTCGACCCCCCCCCCGCGCGCACGAGCGCGTCCAGGGGCGCATGCCGCCCAACACGTCGAGGCGAACGCACCCGTGGCCGCGAGGGCGCGAACACCGAAAGATGATCGAAAACGGAACCATCGATCTTTATCTGCCCAGTCGCCGACCACAAGGGCTCTCGACCGCGTCCACGCCCCAGAACCGCACCTTCCATCCTGACGCCGGAGCTCAAGAGAAAGGAGCGGGTGCGCCCTTCAAGGCGCAAATGTCTTTGCACACGCAGCCTGGGAGCGCACTGTGCGCCGTACCCCGCCCGACGATTGCGTCGGCGTTCGGGGCGCCCCCCTGCCCGCACTCCTTACCTGCCGCGGCGCTGGAGGCGTCGCCAGGGGGATGGGAGGGGGAATCCAGCGCCGACCCCAGACACCCGGGCGCATGTCCGCATATGTGTGTTCACTTGTGTCGTTTTCCCCCTTCGAGACGCGCACCGGTTCCATGACGCGCGTTTTTGTTCAACCTTTCTGTGCTCGACAGTTGCGCCCCCCGCCTCACCCTCCCCCTTCGGAAGAAGAGGAAATCACGATTTCAGGAATGTTCAATATGGATTTACCCCTCCGTTGGGCGAGCGTCAAGGTATTCACCTTGATTGGTGGTTACCTCCTGGATAAACCCTTCTCATGGACGGCAAGCGTCGAAGGGATTCCACTCTGAGGAGGGCTAATTCCAGATTGAATACAAGGTGATGGGGCCCTCTCGCAACTGACGATCTCATTCGGGCCGTCTTGGGGTCACCCTGTGATCGTCACGCAGTCGAGGGGCAGTCTTGGTGTCGTCTTAGTGGTCATCAGGGGGTGGTGGGATCATCGTAGGGTCATAGCGCCCTCCCGAACAATAGAACATGCAAACACCGTGAAGCAAGTTGGCAGGAGATCATGGAGGCTTCTGAGATTTGCGGCGAGGTCTCGCGTTAAGGCCGTGGGGTAATTTTCGGACCCTACTGGAATCGTGAAGGATTTTGGTGGGAAGTCTTGGGGTCGCGTGGATATCACGTTGGGAACGTTTTGGGTCACCTTGAGGTCATGGTGCCATGTTGGGGTCATTTGAGGTCGGATTCGACTTTTGTGTTCTTGCTCGTGCGGGGCTTAGCAGGGTGAGGTCGTTCGTAGTTTCGGCTTACACGGATTTCTTGTTTTAGCAAGCTGTCCTGGGTCCCTTCGAGAATTGGGTCCCTCCCGGGGGCTGTGTTGAGCTCTCGTGGCCTTCCGTCAGGTTATTTCAAGACGCGGTGGGGCACTGGGTCGGGGGTCACAAACCTACCCCCGAACGTGTTCATAATTCGACTACACGTAGGAGTGACCTTGGGCCAGAGCGACCTTTGGTGCGCGGTTTCAGGGGCGCCCGAGGGGGCTCAACGCAATTGCGCAAGCCAGCGCTGCCGCGCCGCATCAACGATCGGCGGGGCGCCACTCGAAAGTTTTTTTGTGCCAACAGGAAACGGCGAAATTCCGCCGATTGAATTCGAGCGCCCTGAATGGCACTTCGAAGGCGCTGCGACATCGAACGCTGCCGGGGGCCACCGCGATGAGGTCTGGCACTGGTGGGCTGCATCGCGATATCGTCTGACCAGGCCAGGCGTCATGGCCAAAACCGGCCCCATCCGAGAGCCTGCAATATGTTTGAATATCTTTGGGTAACTTATTATAGTAAAGACCCCATTGCTTCGAAACAAATATTCAAACATATTCAAAGATATTCCAAAGATATCCAATTGTATCCAAATCTGTTTAAACCAGAACAGACGTCTTGGGATGTGGGCTGGGATTCGGGACTGGTCCTGGGCCAGAAAACGCGCCGTCTGGTCGACCGGCTCCTCCTCGGGTAACCAATGCAAACTTTAGGGTGCGACGCGTATGTGTTGCTGTCGATTGCGAGGGGCGGGCCCGAACCTGGCGCGCTCAGATGCAAGCGTAATCACCCGATGCGGGTGCCGACGCGATGTCAAGCTCATTCCCTAAGAAAATCTCCCGACCCTCTTTAGGTCAGCACCAAAGGTCACTCCTGCGAAGGGCATGCGTCGTGACCAGAATCTCGATGGGAACCCAGTCGTGGAGACGAGCCTCCTGGAGGCCCAAGAAGGTGGGAGAAACGCCCTACAACTTCGAACCTCGATCCTCGGGGGTTGGAACATCGAGGATCCTCCATCCTCGATCCTCGATCGGTCCTCGATCCTCGACCTCGACTTTCGAACCTCGATCCTCCATCCCCCCGATCCTCGATCCTCGATCCTCTCGGGGGGAGGGGACCGGCCCAGAGGGGAAACATCGAGCTGGAATCGGAGATACCTCGCCGAAAGGCTGGCGAGAAGCCTTAGACAGCGAACCTGCACGAGGGGCTGGGGCAGCCTCGAATCCTCGAACCCTCGATGGGGGCTGAGGATTCGAAGATTTTCGGCTTCACTGTCCTCAAGGTTTCTCGGCTGCCCCAAATCGAGGACCCCAGGCTCCCGCTGTCCTCGCAGTCCTGGGCGGGGCTGGCTCTCGGGCCCCGATCGGCGATGCACGGGCGATGGGGGCTCGGTGCGTCCCTGCCTGAGCCCCCCCCACCCCACGTTGGCCCTGACAGGGGGTCCCTCCTGGGGGGCCGCGCCGAGCTCTCGGCGGCCCCACCTCTGGTCGTCGTCGTCCGCGCTGGGGTCGTGAAGCGGGTCCGCGCCCAGCTGGGCCACCGCCTCGGCGCGGGAGGTCTTCTCCTGGGGCGTGGGGGGGCTCTGCTGAGAGCTAATCGGTGGCGCCATCCGAGCCCGACCCCCGCCGACCACCGATCCTCCTGAATCGATGGGAGCCCAGGGGCAGGGCTCGGATTTCGCAAACGTGTTTGAGGAACTCAGGACCCTACAGTGAGCGGCTTGAATAAGGAATGCTTACTTCTCAAAAGGGGCTCGGTCGTTCCTTAGGCTAAAATGTGTTATTTACAATTCCTTATGCGTTATTTGTTATGTATCGTTTCTTATGCGTTATTCCTTGGGCTAAAAAAAAGGGCTTCGTTCCTTATTTATCGTTCCTTAGGTCAGGCCGATGACTGCACCCCCGCCGCCCATCGAGAGGCCCGAACCGCTGCTCGGCGAGGATCGGGCTCGGATGTCGCTGCCGCAGAGGGCGCTCCGTCGCTCTCTCACACGCGCGGGCCTCTGGCGTCGCGCGAAGATCGTGACGACCGCCTCCGGTCGACACGGGCTTCGGGGATGGACAGACCCCCCTTTAGTAAAACGTGGTTTAGTGAAAACGACCCGAGGCCCAAACCTGGCGGGCGCAAGCCTGGAAAATGACGGCCACGGCGCCCTCTCGAGAGCCGACAACGGACAATTCCCTAATCCACGTGTCACTGTTGGGGGTCCTGTCCACCCCCGCGGGCCCTTCTGGGAGACCCGGGGCCATACACTGAAAAACTACCCCGCGCGCGTGCCCAAGCCTCCGACGACCCGATGCCGTTCGAGCCGTGGGGCCCGAGGCTCTCGACGTCCTTCCTGGGACCAGCCTCTCGCCCTGGGGCCGCTGTCGAACGGCCCCTGGAAGCCGGAGGCGGCAGCAGACCTTTTCACTGCACCGACCTTGCAGACGTGCTGCAGCGGATTTCTGCGTGGATTTCAATGCAAAGCCCCGAAACGGGGGTGAAAAGCGAAGTGATTTTCACGTGGACTTGTCGTGGCCTTCACTCCTGGTCCGAACAAAAAAAAATCCGCGCAACATCCACTCCGACATCTGGAGCGACATTCTCCAGGACGATCCAGGCCCCCCATCCGATTGTTTTCCCAGCGAAATCCCCTCTGCGAGGTTGCCACCATGAACCTTTGGCGCTGCTGCCTGCTGCTAGGATCGCCGGAGGTTGGTGGCTGCGTGAACACTCGGGGGTGGACAGACCTCCCTTTAGTAAAACGTGGTTTAGTGAAAGCGACCCGAGGCCCAAACCTGGCGGGCGCAAGCCTGGACATAACGGCCGCGGCGCCCTCTCGAGAGCCGAAATCGGAGAATTCACTAATCGACGTGTCACTGCTGGGGGTCTCTGTCCGCCCCCGAAGCACGTCTTGGCACCCCGCGCTCCGAGCCCTCCGCGGGGGACCATCGGAGCAGGTGCGGCCGCAGGATCACGCCGGGCCCCACCTTTGCAGGGCGGGGGGGAGGGAGCGGGGCAGCACGCGTGCACACCGCGTCGCTGTGGACCGCGGCGCGCTGCAGTGTGGGGGGGGAGTGAGCGCGGTCGGGAAGGGCTCGAGGTGCGTACACCGCGTCGTCTGGTCGGTTCGGCCACGGAGTTCGGCGTGCAGATGCCCCTGCTTCCGACCGTACGGAGGACGTCCCGCGAAATCCGGAACGCGCTCGTCGGGGAGCGTCGGCAAACCCGAACTCTGGGGCGTACTCGAGTCTTACGCTTCCCCGCCCGTGGGCCACTGAGAGCTCCTCGCGCCCCCGACGGCGGCTCCTGGGCCACCCGGTAGTAATATACATTATAATCAGAAGGGTAGTCGTAGTTGTAGTACTCGCGATAGAAGTAGTAGTAGTAGTAGTAGTAGTAGTAGTAGTAGTAGTAGTAGTAGTAGTAGTAGTAGTAGTAGTAGTAGTAGTAGTAGTAGTAGTAGTAGTAGTAGTAGTAGTAAGTAGTAGTAGTAAGTAGTAGTAGTAGTAGTAGTAGTAGTAGTAGTAGTAGTAGTAGTAGTAGTAGTAGTAGTAGTAGTAGTAGTAGTAGTAGTAGTAGTAGTAGTAGTAGTAGTAGTAGTAGTAGTAATAGTAGTAGTAGTAGTAGTAGTAGTAGTAGTAGTAGTAGTAATAGTAGTAATAGTAGTTAGTAGTAGTAGTAGTAGTAGTAGTAGTAGTAGTAGTAGTAGTAGTAGTAGTAGTAGTAGTAGTAGTAATAGTCACCGCCGCCGTGAAAGTACTATCGTTAGTATCCTCGCGCACCGCGCCCCCCTTCGAGGCGCGCCCGGCTTCGCGCCCTCGCGACCGCCCCGTCCCGCTTCCCCCCCCCTGGGGGAAGGCCGCCGCTCTGGCCCTCGACTCCTCGACTCCCCCCTCGATCCTCGATTCCCCCCTCGATCCTCGACTCCCCCCTCGATCCTCGAGTCCCCTCCCTGGACCCCCTCGATGCCCCACCGATCCTCGATCCCGTCGCTCCTCGATCCCCCCATCGGTCCTCGACCCTCGATCCCCTCGATACTCGACCCCCCAAGACGGAGCCGAAGCGCCAAGGCTCCCACGAGCTGCTACCGAGTGGCCCTCCTTCGGCCCCGGTCGCAATCGTCGTCATCGTCGTCGTCGTCGTCGTTGTCGTCGTCGTCGTCGTCGTCGTCGTCGTCGTCGTCGTCGTCGGTCGTCGGTCGTCGGTCGTCGGTCGTCGTCCCGTCGTCGTCGGCCGTGGAACTTCTATACACAGGATTCCCTGGCCGACCCAGCGGCGTGGAGTATGCATTGGGGTCCTCCGAGCGGTGCGAGATGTAGGCGGACAAGGTAAAGGTGGAGACAGCGGGCCTGGACCCCTGGCGACTCGAGAGAGGCCGCGCAGGATTTGTTCGCCAAATCCGACGACCAGAAGCTGCTTCCATGCCCTGGGCCAGTCGAAGTGCAAGCTGGCCCTGGGGGGCTGGACTCGAACACATCGAAATCTTTGAGTCACAGGGTGCGCGGCACGGAGACGCGCAGTGCGCAATGAATGCATGCAGTCCGTGTCAGCTGGTGGCCACTGTGAGGCCTTATACGGAAACTTCTACAGCTACCTGCCGAGGCTGGGTTGGGTGGAGTGAAGTGAAGCCTGCTTCGGAATACATGTAACATGTGAAGAACACCACAGCGCCATGGGTCATTGCCTCGATCGCCTGGCATTTAACTCGGCTTGGCTTAGGACCTTGGGCTGCCTGCCAGCCGAGATCCGATCGAGTTACTCTCGACGGGCCTGCGTTGAATCTGGCTTCCCCTTGCATGGATCATCGAGGGAACGCAAGTGCTTTTCGGCGATAGTCCCGTCATGGCTACAAAACTTTGCCCCGAGGGAGGTGTGAAATTTGAACAGGTGAGTCTGATGAGCCCAACCTCCCATAACATGCACACGCGCACCCCTCAAGTGTGAAAATGATAATTCCATCTACGTTATAAGAGCCTGTTTTTCATTTTCCACAATAACCGGCCGTTGCCGGCCCCGCGACCCCACCCCCAGGTGACGCCTGTCACGTTCCGCGCCGGCGTCGTCCAAGAATTCCTAATCATGACCGAAGCCAAGTCGGAGCAGCATGTAAGCGGCGATCCGCGCAACAGCGCCTGTGTATACCACAGTGTTCGCGTGCACCACAACGCGCGTAACACAGCGCTGGGGTACACCATAATGTCTGCGTGAACAGGACAGCTAGAAGGAGCATGTAGATCAGGATCTGCTGCGGACAACTAAGCACCACCCAAAAGGAGTGCTGATAATAGCATGCGATTTTCTTCCCTCCTCCTCCTCCTCGTCCTCGTCCTCCTCCTCCTCCCTCACCCTTCCCCCTGTCGTGCTGGTCGGCGCTACAGCGCACGTGTGCATCTCAGTGCGGATCCCAGAAAATGGTAGACTGAATCAATACACTTGGTTCTCGGACGGCCAACTCTGCGGGAGCCTTCTGGATGTGGATCGGAGGAGTTAGGGTGATGCGGGAGGACTCGTCGATTCCAGAGGCCCTCTCTTTTCCATACAAGGGTTCCTTCTCAAATCCTGTGCCAAAGCAGTTGTTTTAGGTGGAATCTACAGGCGCTCCATTTTGTCATACGGATCCCTTGCCACTTTCTACATGCAACAGTGGTGTTCTGTTGCACACGGCTGCTGTGGTGCACACAGGCGCCGTCGTGTACACAGGCGCTGTGGTGCACGCAGGAACTGTGGTGTACACTGGTGCTGTGTTGCGCACGGCTGCTGTGGTGTACGCACGCGCTGTGGTGCACACAAGCGCTGTGGTGCATGCAGGCGTGGTGCTGCACACTGGCGCTGTGTTGCTCGCGGCTGCGGTGGTGTACATCGGCGCTGTGGTATACATAAGCGCTGAGGTGCACGCAGGCAGTGTGGCCCACACAGGCGCTGCGGTGCGGATTGCCGCCTTCTGCTTCTCCTACTTGGCCTCGGTCATCCCTGGGTATTCCCAGGCGCCGCTGGCGCGAGAGGTGACGTCGCCCGCCCCCTTCCCCCTCCCCCGGAGACGGCCGTTATCGCCCTGGAAATAAAAAAAACAGGCTCTAAAGCTGAAGGAGCTGAAAGCAAGGTGTGGCCCACCAATTTCGCAAATGAGGAAGGCGGGGACCCAGGAAGGCCCCAGCGTGTCCAACATCGAACTGGCTGCGACTCACGGGATGGAACGAGAAGGGATAAGATCGAGAAACAACAGCGTAGGAAGGAGAGAGGACACGGAAGGGCTGATGAAGCGCCGAGGGAGGAGGGGAAAGACGGAGAAAGGGGAGAGGAAGGAGAAGAGAGACCCTTGGGAAAGGATATGATATACGTGGGCGGGATGACGATGGCGGGGCGGGCGAGGGGAGGAGGGAGGACGCAGGGGAAAGGGAGGAAGGAAAGTATGAGGATCAGAAAACAGAGCGGGTGAGGGAGAGGGATTGAGGACAGGAGCTGGATGAGGAAGAGAAGAAAGAGCGAAAACAGCATCGCAGCCATGGGGGAAGAGGACCATGTGACCATTGAGCTCGGCGAGATGAACATCGGCGGGCGCCCGAGACTCACCAGACCAACCTGGCCCAGAACCCGAACTCGCCTCAGTAGCCGCCACTTCCAGGACATCAGCGGCGGCCTCCCTTCCTATACAGGGGGCCGCCTGAAGGGCCACATCGTATCTGATCTGCAGGGTGGGCTGGCACTGAGCGTAACTATTTCTTCGTGCCAGCCGGCAATGCATTGAAGCCGAAAGGGGTCCGAGCAACAACGAAACACTTCTTTTAAAGCCGTGGGCCTCACACAGCAACCAAGTTATGACAACTTGGGCCTCATGAAGCCGCCATAGACTTCCAGAGACCTCCATGAAGCCGTCCTGCGGAACGCGCTCTCTGGCTGGGATTCCGAGGCGACTCCTGCCGTGGCGACGAGGTCCCCGCCCCCCTCCTCCTCCTCCACCACCTCCCCCTCCACGTCCTCCTCCTCCGCCTCCTCCTCCTCCTCCTCCTCCTCCGCCTCCGCCTCCTCCTTCTCCTTCTCCTCCTTCTCCTGCTCCTCCTCCTCCTCCTCCTCCTCCTCCTCTCCATTTCCGCCTCCTCCTCCTCCTCCTCCTCCTCCTCCCTCCTCCCTCCTCCTCCCCCCCCCCTCCCACGAGCAGCAGCGCCGCCGCAGCCCGATCCCGCTGCCCCCCCTCTCCCTCTCCCGGCGGCCTTGGGCTCCCACTCGTCGTCCGTGTCCTCTCGGGCGCCGGCCCGGTCGGCCGGCCCAGGGCCGGAGTCCACGGCCATCGGCGCGGCGCCCTGCGCGCCGCCGGCGCGCGGCTCCACGCCCGCCCGCGGCTCCATGGGCCTTCGCAGTGCGGGTGCTGGGCGGCGGCCGCGCCCCTGGAGCCGAGAGCTCGCGCGAGGAGGGAGGGGCCGCGCTCATTCCGCGGGCGGGCTCGCGGGCCTGCCGGCGGCGAGGCTGACATGCTGTGGAGGCCCATGCCAAGGAGCACCCTGCTTGCCTCCGGGGTGCCCTGGGTTTCTTGGGTTTCGATGCTCTTGCCATGGGAAGCGTGTCGGTCCCACACCAAACATCCCTGGGCCTGCTGGGGTCTCAGAGTTGGGTCTCTTGTGGAAGGTTTTTCTTGTGGACGGGCCTCCACTGTAGTCCACGCCCCTGGTGCTGCCTGCAGCTCTGGGCGCCAAGGGTGTAGGGCATGGCGAAAGCCTGGCCTCCAGAGGCCAAGCTCCCTAAGCGATAGGTCGGGCATGTCCCCCTACAGGCGGATTTTGGATGACAAATAGAAGATACCCCAAAAAAGCTCAAACATATTTGACAAATCATGAACAAGAATCGTCCCCAGACTATGTTTTGACTATTTTTAAATCCTTTTCCTGTAGGGGGACAGGCACGACTTCACCTGAGCGGCGAATGCCGCAAGGGTTCTGTGATATTCTTTGAGAGAACACGCTCGGAGGCATCGGCACATTTGGTCGCCCGCGCCTATTGCGCAGCCTTGGGGATGTAGACAAGCTTGGGAAGCTGCGGAATGACAACCCGATGGGTGTCTGGCGCAACCTATGGCGAAACTTATGGCGTTACCCAATGGACTGTAGGCAGACTGGAGAAATCCCGATGTGGTAGACCGCGGGGGAGCTGGCGAAACCTATGGCGAAACCGATGGCGTCACTACTGAAATGTGGACAAACCCGGGGGATCGTGATTTGACTGCCTGCTGGATGCGTGGCGAAACCCATGGCGCAACCCATGGCGCACCCTCTGGGGCAACGGTGGACTTGGTAGCCTTAGGTCGGGCATGTCCTCCTACAGGCGGATTGTGGACGAAAAATGAAAAATCGTCCAAACATATTCAACAACTGTCAGAGAACAATCGAGAAATCGTCCCCAGCTTTTTTTGTTGTTGCTACATTTGAATATTCCTCCTGTAGAGGGACAGGCCCGACTTGATGGTAGCCCTCGGGGTGTCCAGCGCAAGCTTGGACACGACCGCCGGCGCCTTAGCGCGGCGGAGTAGCCGGCGGGCCGCGCCAGGCTAGGCGCACCCTGGAAGAGAAGGAAAAGCATCAGGTCGGGCATGTCCTCCTACAGGAGGATTTGCGAGGCGGGGACTTATCCATATCCACCGCCTGGGAACCGACGTCCTGGTGCCCCAGCGGGCGGTGGATATGGATATATTTCGGCCCCCGGGGGCCCGAATATGTCCATATCCACCGCACCCTCCCCGTCAGAAATCGTGGGGGGCAGGGGTAGGGTTCGCATGTGGCCCCCTAAGAGGGCGGACGCAGAGACTGAGGAACAGAAAAGGGAGGAGGCCTCGGAAGCAGAGCACCCACGCCACGAGGATCGCGCAGGCAGCCTCGGGCACCGGGAGCCCGGCGCACTCGCCTTGGGTCGGACATGTCCTCCTACAGGCGGATTTTGGACAAGAAAATCAAGAATGTCAAAAAATAGTCAAACAAGTCAAATATAGAATCTCAAGATAGTCAAAAGTCAACGAACAAATCTGGAACAAAATCAAGATAGTCCAGAATGAGCGGAAATCATACAAATAAGTAAAAGGTAGAAGATCGCTCCCATACTATTTTTGGATCTCCCGTAGCGGGACATGCCCGGCTTAACACTCGCAATCTGTGCGGGCCAGCGCACGTTGCCGAAGGGGGGGCGGCGCCGGGGGGGCAATCGAAGAGGACGGCCATCTCAGATGGGCGGCAGGCCAAATGCAGAGGAAGATGTCAAGACCTTCGAAGGTCGTCTCTGGGGAGAACTGGCGAACCAGGGGCGCCAGGATTTGTTGGCAGCCTCCTGCAGGCGGAGACCCGGAGCCAGGCCCCGCCGGAGAGCAGCCCAACGCAGGGCTGCGCGGCGACGAAGCCTGCGGTCCGCAAGCAGCGGCCATGGCGGCCGCAGGAGGGGGGGGGGAGACAAGAAGGGGGCGGAGGCAAGGGAGACGAGGAGAGGATGGAGGGCACACCCCCAGTGCGCAGCCTCGGCGGGGAGGGCGCCCGTGGCGACGAGGGGCTGCGGAAGTCAGGGTGGACCCCCGCAGCGGACCCGCGAGAGGGGCTCCACGGAGCACCCGACCGGCGCGGCAGCACGCGGAGGCAGGGAGGGGGGCGCGGGGAAGGCCAAGATGGGACCCCGCGACCAGCTCAGGCTGGTGGGGCGGGCAGCCGGAGCATCCGGGCAGCGCCCGAGCGGCGCAGAGACCGTCAAGAGAGACCAGAATGCAGCCAGGATATGCCGGACTCCAGGAGCACCTGCTCGGCGCGGCAACTGGGGAAGCAAGCGGTGCTGAAACACAGCACAGCACAGCTGAATGTCCAGAAAGGCTCCGGACGCCCCATACGGGGCCCTCAGGAGGCCTCCCGAGAGGCTCCAAGCGGCATCCAATGCGGCCTCGCGTCCACGACCCAGGCGCGGTGGCGGGTGGGAACGACGGCCACCAGATGTGGTGCCCAGGGCGGCAAAGATGGGTGCTTGTTTGCGCTCGTCGCCCGCCGCATGACAGGGGCCTCGTATAGGCATCGAGCTCGGCCGAAACCGCATGGAGGATAGGCTCCAACCGTCCACAGGATCGCCGCAGCTGCGTCTATGGACGATCGACCACTGTAGCGCAGAGCCTGCAGGAAGAATCTCATCGGTGCCCTGGCGCACATGCGTGCGCGATCCTTCCCTGGTCCTACCCCCACGGTGCAGGTGTTTTTGGGGCACGGTGTGGTGGCACAGGGGGGCTCCCGCGGATACTGGGTCTCTGCGGATCCTCCCGTGGGCTTCGGAGAGGGGCTCGTGATGGGCGAGACGTCAGACGGTCCAACAGATATTCTGTCTCAACACTCGCGGCGTGCCTAAACCGAGCACCAGGTTCATGCTTTCCACGGGTCGGCGAATGTGGCGCCAACCGGATGACTTTCTGCGCGTGCCACGCGCTCGTGGCGCAGAGGGGTGTGTGCCCGCGGGAGGTGTGGCGACATCCAGGGTTGTTGCCCCATGCCGTTCAGGGTTGGGTTGACATGTTTGTCTATGCCCCCAATCTGGACCCTCATGAGATTTGGGGCGTGAGCAGGGGGGAGAATTAACAACACGTCGATCGCCCGTGGCGAGCCGATTCTCCCGCTAGACGTGTGGATCCGCTCTCGACCATTTCTTTCTCCACGCGGCAGAGATGGGATCCGCATCGAGCTACTCTTCCCCGCCTCTCCTCTCCCCCATCTCCATCAAAGACCCAAACAGTCCAACCAACTCGACCCCCTGTCCTCCCCCCCTCTCGAAGCTGCTCAGCCATCTAGTCAGTCAGTCAGTCAGTCAGTCAGTCAGTCAGTCAGTCAGTCAGTCAGTCAGTCAGTCAGTCAGTCAGTCAGTCAGTCAGTCAGTCAGCGATTACGATCAACCCGTATAATAAGGACGCACGAGAAGGATGCAAGGGCCTTGGAAGGCCATGCGGACACTCTGCGAGCGGGGCTTGGCCAGCGAAAGTGGCCAAGGATAGGCTGACGGGGAAGGCTAAAGATTGGAAAATAGCTCAGCCTTACTATGCGGGTTGACTGTAGGCCAAGAGACCCGAAGCCTGAACGAAACAACGGGGAGGAGCACAGACGTGATCCCGAGAGGGTGCAGCGGTATGCACGCGCAGAGTCTGGAGAGGGGGAGGCTCGAGGGGGAGCGTTAGGGGGGACGCGTCGACGTGGAGTCGGCGACACATCTTCGATAGATCGGCGAGAGGCCCTCGATAGCGATTGCGCAGACTTCTGGGCGGGGTGGGCTGTGCTGTCGGGACCCTGTCGGCGATGAGTGGGTGACTCGGAGTCGATGCACCCCCCCTGAGCCCATCCCACCCCCTAACGTTGCCCCCCGCGCGGAGCGCGCCAGGGAGGAGGAGGAGGAGGCGGAGGAGGAGGCGGAGGAGGAGGAGGAGAGGAGGACAAAGAAAAGGAGGAGGAAGGAGGCGAAGGAGGGAGGAGGAGGAGGAGGCGGAGGAGGAGGGGAGGAGGAGGAGGAGGAGGCGAGGAGGAGGAGGAGGGAGGAGGAGGAGGAGGAGGAGGAGGAGGAGGGACGAGGAGGACGAGGAGGACGAGGAGGCGGAGGAGGAGGAGGACGAGGAGGACGAGGGTGAGTGACTCCCTGGGGCTCCTCGTCGTCCTCCCCCGCCGCGCCCTCGGCGCTGGCGGCCGCGCTGGCCTCCGGCGGCTCCTCGCCCAGCGGCTCGCCGCGGCGCCGCCGCAGGGAAGACTCGCGGGGGCGACGGCGCACGCACGCCGAAGGCCTCTCGGCGGCCAGTCGGCGGCCCCTCGGCGGCCCCTCGGCGGCCCTTCGGAGGCCCGTCGGAGGAGGCCCGTCGGAAGCCCGCCGCGCGCGCACGCCGGCGCGAGGCTCTCGCGGCCGCGGGCCGAGGAGAGTCGCCGTCGCCGTGGCCGCGGTCGTGGCCGTGGCCGTCGTCGGGGTGGTCGTGGCCGTGGCCGTTGCCGTGGCCGTAGCCGTGGCCGTCGTCGTGTTCGGGTCCGTGCTCGTGGCGACGCCGTGGTCGTGGTTGTGGTCTTGGTTGTCGCCGTGAGATGAGGAGGAAGAGGAGTCGGGGTAGGATGAGCGGGCGGGTGGAGGGAGGAGGAGGGAGGAGAAGGGAAAACCAGAGTAAACCCAAGATGCCGAAGTTATGCTGCAATACACACCCTCGTCCCAAACCCCATCCTCATAAGTCCGCACAGGCCTTCCTTTCAACTGCAAGAAATGCCTGTTGAAAAACCAACATCTATGGCTGCCACTCAGGCGGGAGCCTCGTTTTCAAAATTTAATGCCTTGTACTTCTGTTGGGGAATCCGCTGGCCACATTGGAGGCAAACGTGCT